TCCTCTTCTGGCAGCCCCACTGACGGAGGTGTGAGCCTTTGGAAGAACATTCTAGATCTGAACCATAAGTCAGAGAAGCCATCATATTAGAGTGACCCATGCACACCCATGTGTATAGCAGCACAACTCTTAACAGCCAAATCCTGGAAAAGACCCAGAAGTCCATCGACAGATGAACACAAAAAGAAAGGGTGACATTTATACACAGAGGAGCACTACTCCACCATAAAGAAGGATAAACTTGAGGCATTTGGGGGAAAATGGATGCAACCTGAGACCATAATGTTCAGTGAAATAAATCAGACCCACAAGGTTAAATATCGTACAGTTTCTCCAATATGAGATTACCCCAAATATAAATCATTAAAGGAGCAAAATAAAAGAGACCTATTAAGAAACAGGCAGACTCTAGAGGTGGGAAAGGGGAGTGGAGCAGGAGGGAGAGGAGAGGATGGGCGAGAAGAATAACGCAGATCATGATGTGATATGAGCACGTATCAGCCCCCAGGCTCTGGGCAGTCACTATGAATTGCAAATGTATATGATGAAAAGTTAAAAATAAAAAAAGGGAAACGAGTTGGCTTTTATATTTAGAAAGGGATGCAGGAAGCTCAGGCTGGGGACGTTGATGCCACAGCAGAGCAGCCCTGAGGAGATGGGCTTCGAGGGTAGGGGGTGTTGCCAGCCAGCATGTTGTGGCCAGGAGTGCCTGTCTGTGCCCTGGATTTTAGCCCAGCAGGGCCCATTTTACTCCCTGACACTGGAGGTGTCAGCTGTGCCTGTGTTGTCTGTGGTTACCATGGCAACAACAGTGGCAGTGGCAGGGGCACTCATTCGAGTCCCTGTCCAGCAGTGACCCTCACTGCATGCACTGCTGTGCCACACGACACCTCTGGGGAACAGCGCTGCCCACAGTCCCACATTTGGATGAGATTTTCCTGCACCTGTCACTTCCTTACGATCTCAGCTCTTTGCACAGATTCATCGTTCACTCATGAAAACCAAAGCTGTCATGTTGGGCAAACTGAAAGACACAGCCTGTGCCCCGTCTCGGCCGCCGTTCAGATGTCTTCCTCTGCTGATGTCCTCATGCATCCGGCCACCGCTGTCACTGTCTTGTGGACGTTTCCAGCCTCATCAGTTTCTCCAGCACCTTAGAAAAGAGGCACCTTGCACCACGCATCCTCGGGGTGTCATCCAGATGGTGACACTGTAAGTGTGGAGCATGCCGGGCTCTGACAGTGCTTGACGGGTGCCCTTTCCACAGAGCGCACAGATGCCGGGCAGCAGCCGCAGGATTGATGGCGCAGTCATTGGTGTTGGCGCGGCGCTGGGCATCACAAAGACTCGGACCCTGCAGCTCTTTTAGATTAAGGACACCTGAGTCCCCAGTGAAGAATCCCTGAACTCTTAAATTTATCATTTCCTACAAAGAAAGCAGAAATCCCACAGGCATTGTGTTTAAAGCCACGTTTTTCTGGGAAGTAGAATTACACATTGTTTTCATGCCAGTGTCTTGGAGATTTAAAGTCACCGCTTCATTCTTATTCATGTCTTGTGATAAATTTATTGCTAAGAATAATAGAAATACTTGGGCCAGTGTGACTGACGTTGGCCCTGAGATGTGTGAGCTCGTTCCAGAGAAATGCAAACCCTGGGACTGAAGCCGACCGAGGCTCTGACTCTTCTGTAGGAGGGAGGCAAGGCGTCGGTTCCACTTGGTCCAGTCGAGCGGGCGGTGGCCCATTGAGGTAGAAGCCAGTGGAAGATGCTGTGCCTGCACTCATAGCTGGGGTTCTCAAGAGTGAACGATGAGCCTGTGCTACCAGCTGAGATCGCACGGAGGCTAGAGGTGCAGGGACATCTCATCCGAATTTGGGACTCTGGTCACAATTGCTCAGCCTTCTTTCTCTTTTGCAGTGTTTCATTTGTGTTGGGAGGTCTTTCGTAGTCTCATCCATAGTGAAGTTTTACAGTATTTTGCATCTTCTGATAATTGTACAAATGAAATAAAAAGCTATCCTACGATGGCTATCTCAAAATTATTATGAAGATTCAGCCTTCAAGTACAGATGAAGCCTTGGTAGAAAATATGTACCAGATCACAAAGAATATTTTAAAACCAGAGTGTGGAACTTTGTTTTCCAAAACTCAGTGGAATGGTGGGAATCTTTGTATGCATTTTCCTCTGTATTCCAGCTAGTAGGGTTCTTTAAGAACTCACTGACCAAGCTGACTGCTTCCCTTTCATATGAAAATTACAGGGCAAAGTCTTAAGAGCCCAAACAATGTCATCTCGCTTTTGAAAAGTGTGACCTTTCTTGGTCCTGTGTGTGTTGGGGCCACTGGGACATTTTCTTGAATTACTCAGAGGCTCCTGGTTAGTGTGCCTGCAGTTCAGGGAGATCACCACTAGATGCCACTCAATACACTCCCGTTCTTTTAGATTTCCTTTTCATGTTTGATGTGCAAATTGAAGAAATTCTTAGACACATCATATCCTGTATTGTAATTGTTCTGATTCCTCCTCTACCGATCTGTGAGATAATGGAGTGCACACAGATGATACACACACATTCACTCACACACAGGCACAGCCTTTTAGGAGGGCAGGAGAGGGACGTAGGAAAAGGACAAAATTCTTCCTAGCGTAGCGCTCAGCCCTCTGGACTCTGAACTGCAGCAACCCGTGTTTTCATCTTGTAAGACCTGGGGGTTTCTGCTCCAGTCCCGTGTTCTTGGAAGCTGCAGAGGTGGCTCTTGGCAGGCATGGATCGCTGCAAGTTCAAGACCCGCCTGGGCTACGTAGTGAGTTCAAGATCAGCCTGAATTGCATAGCGAGATCCTGTCTCAAAACACCAAACAAATGAGATCAAAAGCTGGACATGGTGGTGCATGCCTATGAAGTTAGCACTGTGGGAAGCTGAAGCAGGAGAACGGCGAGTTCCAGTTGACTCTGGGCAATTTTGGGACTTAGGCCCTGTTTCATAGTGAAAAAAATGAAAAAGGGGGTAAGGGTGTAGCTCAGTGCCAAGGCCCTGGGTTCAATCCCCAATAGTGAAAGGATGAGACACAGCAAGATAAAGATTGTTATTTAAAATTTCACCCTTTGTTATCAAAATATACTTTATGACATTTTTAGTTGTACAAGACCATTCAATAAAAATTCAATTTAAGACAGTTTACAAGAAAGATTTTACTCCATGTGAGCAATTCTTGACCCACACTTTCTGTTGTTTCTCATTTCATTCTCTGTGAACACCCTGGGTGAATGCTTCTGCATGCTTTATAAATGCACTAGGAGCACAGTTGCTGCAGCAAGCCCAGGGAGCACCCTTACTTCCGGGCATGAGGCAGGGACCGGATGGTGAACTGTCTCGTGCACCTCCTTTGGCTGCGCCAGGACCAGAGGCAAGCTGCATGCTGGCACGGTTCTCATCCTCTCCCTACAAATTTGTGTACTGCTTGTACCAACCCTATAATCATCTCTTCGTACTTTCATTGAGCACGGCAGGGACTACACCACAGAGTGGTGAAATAATTCCTTCAAGGTCGCACGGCTGGCCACACTCAGAAATGCTGTTGTAATCATTACCTTCATCATTCCTGTTTGCAACAGTAGTGAAGTTTGCAGCTTTTCCTCTGTGCTTGCAGGGAATCCAAAAAGGGTGTTGACTTCCCAGTGCAGGAAACGGCATCTGGTCTAATGAACGTCCTGACCTTCACAGTGCTGTGGATGCAGGTTCTCCCTGGTGGGACTCTGTCTGAGCTAATTAGCCACATGCAGAGGTGGAGGGCCTCTCCCTGAAGGCTGGCTTGCTCCTGCTGCTCTCTCCAGGCTGCCCCTGTATGACACCTAGTGACAGTCAGCCTCATGCTTGTTTAGGGAGTCAGGATGGAGATGAGACCCAGCTGGCAAGAGTGCCCTGAAGGGAGACCAGGGACAGGGCCCGGGCCCCTGAACTTGGTGCAGAGGTGGGAAGGATGGACACACTGCACAGATGACATGAAAGGGGACAGTAACGGTGCCAGGGACCTCCCTGGTGCCTGGCCATGGTGGATTGGCGTGGATCTTAGCAGAGGACAAGAATGATAGCATAGTTAGTGTGTACTTCCCGAGTCTGGACAGAGCCCTTTGCACCATGCACTCGGGAGAGCTGTGTCCTATGCCTGCAGACCTGAGCTGGCCCAGAGTGATCATGGTGCTGAGTTACTGCATGGCCGAGGCCCCCTTTGACTGTGCATGGACCAAAGCGTCCAGCATGCTAGGCTTGGCCCAGTGTGTACATCAGGTTCTCTCCCCATCTCCTCTTAAATTCTTACCACATGTCCAGGAGCAGTGCATGGGCTTCCGTGTTCTCTGCCACCTCGACCTCCTCAGCTTGGTTACACTCTCCCACTTCCCCATAATCTCGCTAGTTTCTGAATCTGAACACGTGGGGGCTGGGCCTCTGCTTCTGACAGTAGCTAAGTGGAGTAGTGACTTTGCACAAGTGGCTCAAGTCAACAGCTGTAGGGACACGGCACACTGCAGCCTGTGGAGCACCTGTTTCATGGAGATCTTTATGGACCGATCCCATCTGTCCTACATAAACTCCTTAAACATGTGACTCCCGAGCTTACTGGCTGATTCGCCTCTGCATTTCCACAGTGCTAGCACAGTGAGCTACAGACTTGAGCTCAGTGAGAGATGCTGGGTATTACCTGCCTCTCCTTGCCTGTTGCTCTTTGTGGCTTCGATGAACTTCAGCCAGCACAGCGTGCGTGGGTGCTGAGGTTCAGGATCAGGTATCGCTCATCTTTGCACCTTACAGGCAGCCCGCAGAACAGTGTGCTGGCCTCAGTTTATACCTGTTGAATGGAGTGAAATATGGGGCTCTTGGTGGCTGCTCTTGCTTGATCTGGGTGGGTGATTGAGACGAAAGAAAAGAAATGCAATATGGAAAAACAAAATATTATGCTGTACTTGTATGATTATTAGTTTTTAAAATTTCAAACAGGTGTTTTTGATGCTTTTGGAAGATTCCAACAAGAAATCACACGTTGCCCTAAGCACCAAGTCAGAGCCTCAGACCCAGAGACCTGCTGGACCATCGCCCAGCTCCTGTAAGTACAAGCAGGGTCTCACATTTCTGCTGCAGGACCCAGGGTCCCAGCCTTGGCTGGCAGCCTTAGGTTCAGAGGTTGTATGGCATCCCTGACTGACCAGTGTGTGGTGGAACGGGCAACCAGTGAATTTGTGAGTGAGTATACAGGAAGTTTGGGGTTTGTCCTGGCTTGAGAAAGGTGGCTGTGTGTTTATGGGAGAGGTTTTGTTTCATCTTTTCTGTAGATCTTGACTTACTGTGTCAGAAATTGCGCAAGGAACAGCTAAGACTGTTCATCTCATTTTCCCTGCAAGGTCAACTAACCATTGCAGTCTGCATTCCTGGCCTGTCTGTTGTGTGCAGATGCTGGGCAGGCAGTGGTGAGTTAATGTGGTTTAAGAAACTACCACATGTGTGTTTGCTTTCACGGGGCTCCGTCCCCAGAGACCCTGTCTTTTGTGCTCAGACTGCCTCCTGTCAGCCTTAACAGCTGGAGAGAATCCAGGCTTGGCTTCTGGGGTGCGACTGCAGCTCTGATTCAGCATGGTGCCTTGCGTGTTAATCAGCAGTGGCTCAGCAAGCCGGACTGGAGGGCAGACAGGGTGAGTCAGGAACTCACCCAGGAATGTTACTAGGATTAAATAGACTACAATATTTTTAGTAGATGCTTGGTGTATTCAGCTGTTTGAATGTTGTAATTTCTCTCTTTGCTTTCCAACCCTTGCTGTAATGAAGTTTGGTTATCTTTGTCTGTCTATCTCTCTATCTTCTATCTATTGTCTATTTATCTGTCTTCAGAATTGATGTTTAGTTGATTTCTCATTGCAGCTTTACTTTACAGTTCTCTAATGATTATATCAAGCATATTTTCTTTTTAAACAGCTTTCTTAAGGTATAATTCTCATACCCTACATTTTAAGTGTGCAGTTCATTGACTTTTATAGTTTTTTTGCCCTTCCCACCATTATCAATGTTAGACCTTTTTCATTACCCCCCAAAAGAATCTCCACTCTGCACCATGTAGAGTTGCCTCAGTTGCCTCAGAGTTCCCCCCAGCCTCAGGAAACCTCTGACATACTTCCTATTTCTGTAGATTTGCCTCTTCTGGACATTTTATATAAATGGCATTATAGATATTGTCATAGTTGCTTTTTCTTGTTGCTGAGACAAAATAACTGACATCCAAAGTTAAAGGGGAAAGGGCTTATTTTGCTCACAGTGTGTAGAGGTTTGGCTGGCTCCAAGGCAGGGAAGCATGGCAGACAAGCATCGCAGATGAGAAACAGTCAATGGAAGGCAGAAGGCAGGAAGCAGCAAGCAGTAAGTGACAAGTGACAAGAGTAGCTTCTTTCTGCCCCTTTACATTCTATCTAGGTGCTACCTTACATTGGGTAGCCCTCACACCCAGAACCATGTCAAACTGATCAGTTGACTAACCTAGTAATCATAGGTCCTTAATCCTAGCACCACAAACTTTGAAAAAGCCACCATCTATGACTGTGTGAGGCTTTGGAGGGACATCCAGATACAAGCCATAACAGATATGGTCTTTTGCAACTAGCTTCTTCACTCAGTAGAAGTTATGCAAGGTTTATTGACACAGCAGGTATCAGGACTTTATTTCCTTTGATGGCTAGAAAATACTCTATTATTGTTTATGTGTAACACATTTGTATCCTTTCATCAAATGATGGCATTTGGGTTGTTTCCAATATCTTGCTATTATGACTACAATACTGCTATGAATATTCATGTGCAAGCTGGTTTTCATGGATGTATGTTTGCTCATCTGTCTGTTTCTAGGAATGGAATTGCTGGTTCATCTGTTAAATCACTTGAGTAATTGCCAGGAACTTTCCCAAAGTGTCTACACCTCACATTCCCACTAGCAGTGGATGAGGGGTCTGGTTTCTCAGTATCCTCACTAACACTGATGATTCCTAATACTGGACATCTCTTCTGTGTAATTGCTAGCTATTAGCAAATCTTTGAAGAAATGTTTGTTAAAGTTCTTTCCTCATTTCTGAATGGGGCCAGGGTTTTTTTTTTCCTTGCTGCTTTTGTTATTGTTGTTGAGTTGTGAGATTTCTTTATATTTTCTAGATAGAAGTCCCACCACACTCCACTGTTGCTTCAAATGGAGCAACCTCATTATATCAATGACTAACATGTTTCCTACAGTGCTGTTTACTTGTCTGTGTCTTTCCTGGCTTTCTATCAGGTTATTTTATCCACCCTTGAAAATGGGTCTTCAAGTTTCCTACTACTATTGTAGAAGTGTGGCATTCAACTTTGATTTCTCTAGATATTTATTCCACATGTTTAGGAGCTCTGATGTTTGGTTTCAGTGTATTTATAATTGTTACACCTTCTTGGTGAATCAATGTTTTTAATAAACGGAACCTTTTATATAAGGACTTTTATGCAAAATACTTTTCATCTCTTATAACTAATTTCCCCTTAGCCTATTTGTCTGATAATAGTGTAGTTATCCCTGTTCTTCTTCAATTACTATTCACCTGAAATATCTTTCCCCATCTTGTTAGCATATACATGTCTGTGGGCTTTTTGTGTACAGCATATAGTTGAATCCTGTTTTTTTAAAGCAATGCTGCAAATTTATGTCTTTTGATTGGAGACTTTAATCCATTTATATTTAAGGTAATTGTCATAGAGTAGCACTTACATTGCATTTTGTTTTTTGTTTTCTGTATGCTTTAAAGCTATTTCTCTTTTCTTCCACTATCAATTTTCATGCTTTTTTGATGACATGTCTTGGTTTTGTTCATATTTCCTTTTATGTGTATTGTGCAAATATTTTATTTTTGTTTAGCAAAGGAATTATGCATGATACCCTTTTTGTTGTGATAATTACCTTAAATTAGCACTAACTTAATTTCAATCACACACACATCTTTATTTCTTTACACCTGTACTCTATCAACTTTTACTACTGGAATAAAATTACATCTTTACATATTAGATATCCAACAAAGCTTATATTATTTTTATGATTTTTGGCTTTTAAATCCTGCAGAAAATATGAAGTAGCATACAAAACAAAATGCAATGATACTAATTTTATATTTCTCCATGCATTTATGTTTACTAGAGAACTTTTTACTTGAGCTGCCTGTGAGTTATTATCTAATATTCTTTCATTTCAACTTGAAAGGCTACCCTTAACATTTCTTGTGGGGTACCTCTGCTAGTCATGCACTTCTTTAGCTCTTGTTGGTTTGTAAATGTCTAAATTCTCTTTCCTGTTTGAAGGACTCTGCAGCTCTCTGAGAATATATAGGGCAGTTGTTTTCAAATCTTTACTGGGATATCTTTCTGAGTATTACTTTACTACTTTGCAGGGAACAGGCTTCCTTGTTTTTTGGGATGTGTGTGTATGTGTGTGTGATCATTTACTAGGACTTGGCATTTGGTACATCAGCCACTCTTCCCATCTTTGTAGACAGGTGAGGAAGACATTTGGCTTCCTTCTGAGTCCTCATGGGCAGCGTCTTTGACTTTCCTATTTCTACTTATTCTGTCCTAGGGGAGCTATACTTCTCTGTCCCATACTCCAGATTTCTCCCCTCTGCCTGCTGCCCACTGATTTCCAGCCACTCTCTTGTTTGTAAGTTTTGTTATGGCAACTTTCCATTTCCTGTAAGTGAGCCCATGTTAATGTCCTGCTGTTGTTAGACCATCCCTGACTTAGCAGATTGAAATGGCCCTGCCTCTCCCCCTGCAGTTCCCACCTGCCAGAACTCTGGGCCCAGGATCTCTTGGCTGGGGTTCAGGTGCTACCCAGACAGCACTCCAGCCTACAGTGTCTGTCCAAGCCCATTTGGGCCTGTGCAGAATTCAGTCCCTTGAGGGCCAGGGTCCTCGCTTCCTGGAGGGTGTCACTTGGGGTCTGCTCTCAGCTTCTAGCAGAGACCTTCAGGTCTCAAGGCTGGTGGCAGCTTCTTCAAAGGCAGCAGGAGACTCTGGTTTGGTAATTTTTATGGGCTCTGGACAGGCTTCTTACTCCATCGGCAAATTCTCTTCACTTTTGCCATGTGATGTCTGATGGCAGGAGGAAAAGCCATCATGCTCGGGGCCTTCCACGCAAGGGGGCAGATGTGCAGGGGTCTGAGTCACTGCAGGTTGCTCTCCAATTGACCCTGTACCAGCAGTGTTAGAATGGGCTGTGCTGAATTTCATTAACGTGTGCCCCTTCACACACACCGGCCATTTACATTTCCTCTGTTGTAATATCGCTATTGCTCTTTCTCTTTGACCCTCTTTGTAATTTTAAAGAATAGTTTCTTAAATGTATTCTTATTAGAAATAAACTGCAGGCATCTTACAGTAAGCCTCAGATCCTAATTGTACAGCCAGGTGGAGCACACCTGTGTAGGCATCATCTGGATCGAATCCCGAAGAATCCCAGTGCCTGGTGGCCCCTTTTGTCCTCCCAGGCCAAAGCCTGGCTGTGAGAGTCATCGTCACCTGAGGATCCTTGTTCCTGGCTTTGGTCTCTGTATCAAGGGAAGTGTGCCACAGATACAGGAGTCTGGGTTTACTTCTGAGACCTGTGCTTGATATTCTGTGTATAACTTTGGTGTAATAATATTCATATGTATATATCTATATATCAGAATTTATCCATGTTCCACTGTAGAAATTTTATTTTATGGGGACATAAATGCTATTTTTCTCTGTTATTTCTTAGTATTTTGCCTAAAGGCTTAGTTTCTCAGCATTTAAATGTACATCAACTCATGATTTTCCTAGATAAGGAGGAATTTAAAGAAAGCATGATTGCTAGGTACTCCTAAACATTTTATTATCACTATAACTTAGGCTAACTGCCATGGAAAACTCACCATCTACATATGCCCTCTTTGTTATGGTTCTATATCTGGTTTGGAAAATGATAATTTCATGTTCGGAGTTTGGTACACAGTAAGAAAATCCATGTAAACATTGGAGAAATGAAACATGAGCAATAAAACCCTGGGCTCTGTGGGGAAAGAGCAG